ATATTTAAAAAATATAAAATTTGTACAAAAAACTTTAAGAAAATCTATTGAATATAACAAAATTAAGATAATGTATTAAATTTTTGTATTTTTTATATTTGGTGAATTTTAAAAAAAAAAATTACAAAATATTATACTTCTTAAGTATACCTAGATTAGGTGTTATTAAAAAAAAAAATATCCTTAAAATATTAAAAAAAATTCAGTAAAATTAAAAAAAAATGAAAAATAAAAAAAACTCATTTTTTTGTGTTAGTTAAACCAAAGAAAATGATTGTTATTTCTCTTGAAATTACATGAACAAAATATTTGTATTATTTTATTCTTTTATATGTATAAGGTTGAGAGACAAATATGTTATTTTAATCTGACAAGGGATAAGTGTAATTTTTCAAATGTGAGGAGGATTTGTATTAAATAAAAACCTCAAGGGGTGTTAGTGTAATTTACCCTTTAAAATTTTACTTTTATCAATTGAACTGGGATAAATTACAAATACACCCATTGAGATTTGTTTAAAGCATATATTACCCCTTATGATTGAAAAATTACAAATATCCTATTGTCACAATTTTTTATTTAACAGAATTAACTAAAAAAATGAAATTCACAATTCCTCTCATATACAATAATAAAATTACTTAAATTATTAATTGAAACATATTTCTAACATCATTAAAAACTGTTAATTGACTTTATAATTTATTAATAAAATGGACAATTTATTATGAAATTAAAAATCTCAAGGGTTTGGAATGTAATTTTCAAAATCATAAGGGGTGATTCATATTTTAATCAAATCTCATGAGTATATTTATAATTTGCCCATTAAACTATTGTAATTTTTAATTTCATTATTAAATTATCAATTTAATTTATTTAGTTATTATTATTTTTTCCCCAAATTTCCCATCATATGGTTCACGGTCCTTTAAGGTTATGTTTGTGATAGACTTTTTAAAAGTGATTTTCTTAAAAAAAAAATAAATAAATAAATAAAATTTTAAGTTTTATTTGATTAAACGAATCAAAAAAAGAAAAAAATTTGAAAAAAGGTCTAAGAAAAACAAAAAAAAAAAAATATTTAAATTTAGTGAATTTTCTAAAATATTTTTATTTTTATTATCTTAATTTTTTAGATTATTTTACACTAGACGAACTGAAAAGATAAAAAAATTTGATACAAATTAAATAAAAAAAAATCACTACGTCAAGAAAATTAGAAAAAAATATGATTTTTTATTTGGATGCCACACGGCACCTAAACGGTGGAAATGTAATCTAATGAACCAAAAAAAAAATGTTTTTATAATTTGAACAGTAAAAATTTATTGGTGTCGTCTTCAAATCCTCTAATAAAAGCGAGATACATGATTACTCATGTTAAAAATAAAGACAATTCATGTCAAATGGTTATACCATATTGCATATCTCTTCTGTTGAGGGATATGATATCTCGACTCGTTGTATCTAGAACAACCAAACATCATATGTAAGAAGATAAAAAAAACATCTAATCTCACATTATATTATATCCGAGTACCGCTCCATCCAACCTTTTTATTCTCCAAACAAACAGTCCCATGTGAAAATACACGTGACAAGCAATTACGAGATTATATGACTTTTGAAACCGCATAAAGAGCTGAGTTAGCAAGTACTAGTTAATATCTAAAAAATTATGAGCCAAATACAAATTCAAAATAAGGAGGGAGTCAAACATAGAGATCAGAACGAAGATGGAGAAGTTGGGATTTATTGGGAGCATAAAAAAATCCAATAATTAGCAAATGAAGTTAAGGAGGATAAATCAACAAAATTCAGTACTTCTTTTCTTTCAATTACAATCTTGTTTTTCCTTTTCAATGAGTAGCCATAGTTATAGAGCTTACATTCCTTGCAATTTCAGATTTAGCCCTTTGCTTGAACTTTCATTTGGTAGCTATAGAAGTAGTTAGGTAATGCATTTCAACTTGCAGTTGTATTATTCAATTAATCAATTATATAATTTTGGCATCTCTTTCTCTATTTTGTTGTGAAATAACTGAAATACACAAACAATAGCATGAAGAAAAACGAGCAATTACATATAAGAAACGACACAGAAATTTATCTGTAAAATTATCGATGTTCATAGTTCACACCAGTTTCACTATATCAAAAAGAATGAAAAAAAAGTACAATATAACTGCTATAAAAAGTAACAAAATATAGCATTAGGATCCCCCAAAACCCCCTTACCCTCGGGGGAGGCCCTCTCGTCCCAAATCCCCCATTGGATTGAGAGATCTGTGTCCATTGCTATCAAGCTCAACAAACACCAACATTTTTCTCTACTTTTTTCAATATATTCTCATTGCAAATTGGTTCTTAACTTGACACTCACTGTTAAAGTCCTTTTCATTGAAGTAAAAAGAACCTCTACACAATCCTAATGGATTGGCTTAGTGGGAACAACTTGTAGATTGAGGATGTGCTTCTTTCAAGTCTCAAGTTCAATTCCTACTAGGTATTATCAACTCAGTTTTGTTTGATCCACATGTAGGGAGCGTTTTGCGTGAGCCTCCAAATTAGTCAAGATGCGCGTAAGTTGATCTAACTCGGTTTGCGTGCCCATGTGCACGCATTTCGAACCTATTTGTTTTTTCAACTGAAGCATGTACACGCCACATACATCCCCTTGATTCCTTATATGCACATTCTGCCGTAACCCTCAGCTTGTCATTTTTAACATATGTAAACTGAAAACCAACCTCAGTAGCATATTTGCATAAAATAGTACGAAACTCCACTACACCTCCTTCAAAGTTTTGTCTAACATTCGTAATATTATTTTGTCAACCAACTGACAATAACACCTTTTCTTGGTGAGAACAAAACTTAGAGAGTGAATTCTTTCAATATCCACGAGCTTATCAATTCACCATGCATAACATCTACCCAATTAGACCGTACTTCACCATCTTAATCAGAAGTACTACACCTAATAATTGAAACATCAATTATATCAACACCACGTGCATAAACAACCCTCAATATATTTAGAAAATCAATATTATTTCGAACCATACAATTCGGATGGCCTACAATAGAATATGAAATACACATTGTCTCAGGTTTCAAATTCTTCTATGTTTTACGCAAAATGCCAACCAATACCTCAAAATTCAATTCACATGATACATTAATGACAATAGTATCATTTTCATATTTGCACAGCAACAATACTGCTCTGTCCATCGAAACTGAAAGAAAAAACAAGAAAATAATTTGTTCAATATAAAAATACTTCACAAGAACAACATAAAAGTCCAGAGAAATTTCTAATAATTATAATTTTCTTTGGATTATAATAACAACTTATAATTTTCTCTGGACTCAAATAAAAGTCTAGAGATATTTACAAACTTATATTCACCTTCAAGATAACAAAAACAAAAACAAAATAACAGAAAACTTAATGAATCTAGAGAGAATCACAGAGAAATTTAATGCTAACTATTAAACACAATCATAGACAAAAATCACTCAGAAGGTCTGTTATGAAATTATGAGCTTCTTTGTGATTTTTACTGGACTACAAGCTTACAATTTTCTCTGTGTGATTGTGCAATATTGCACTCAAATCAAAATCCAGAGAAATTTACAAACTTATATACACCTTCAAGATAACAAAAAACACTGCACTGTCCATCTAAACTGAAAGAAAAAATACAAAAAATAACTTTTGCTCAAGGAAACAAAAACTTATATTTACTTTGAACTACAAACTTATAATTTTCTCTGAACTACAAATAAAAATCCAAAGAAATTTAAGAACCTATATTCACTTTCAAGATCACAAAAACAAAAATACATTAACTTCAAGTTGACAAAAATGCTAACTATTCCACACAAATGCAGAGAAACTCATAGAGAAGATTTGTTATGCTCGCAAAACATTCAATTGGGAAAAATAAGAAATAAAAAATAACAAACTTATAATAACATGTCCACAACAAATTACAGTGGCTCTGCATAGCCAAGCTTATTTCGGTCATATAGTAGTTCGGCCAAAGTAAAAACCATCCCACTTGGTTTAAGCAGTGGGGGAGGGTGTAAAAGGATAAGCATTATCCTTAGGAGAATGAATCCTAGGAGGACTCTGCATGGAGGAATAAAAGTCCTACTAGGATTGTGTCACTGGAAACTTATAAAAGCTCACAATCATCACCTTGGAGGAGGTAATTGAACACAATCTTTCTGAGAACTTAGAGCTTTGTCTATTTGTCAAGTTTTCTGACTTAGGCATCGGAGAGGTTTCCGGCACACACCCGCCGGCTAGCTCACGTTTGTGTTTTCAGGTGACAAAGCGACGTCATACGGAGGAGCGTGGACTTAGTCAACAGGATTATACGAGGAGAATTATTTCTTCCCCGTACAGATGTGTAAAAATTATTCGGTTCAACAATCCCACCAACTAAATAAATAATAATAAATCGCTTAATTTGTGGAATAAAAGGTTCCAAACAAATAAAAAATTAAGGGATTCTTGAAAAGCCCTATTGGGAAGATGGGTATACCAATAAGTCCTCTTGCCTTTTTGGTGCACTAAAAAGTTCTATTCGCTTTTAATTGTTATAACAAAATTCTATTTTTATTTTTAGCTGTGTTTTTATAAAAATTGTTACTAATTGTTATTTAACGATAATTTGAAAAATTCATCATATAAAAATATCACTAATTATCATTTTTTAATGAAAAGTTTAGAAAAACATTACTAATTATCAGTTTTTAGAACTTTTCATTATACAAACACTTGTGAGACTTTATAATGCACATGTCCTTATAACAGGATTTGTGAGTAATTACCCCATATCTCAGAAAGAGCTGGCCCACCCATTGATTCCCTCTAATTCTTCTCATTTGCTGTAAGCCTACTAACATAGCCCACTGGAAAAGGCCCACCGCAATGCAAATCAGTAAAGCATTACCAACACAATTTAGGCCAGGCTTTACTCTATCACCACCAGATGGCCCATTAAGCTTTGCCTGAATCATTCTGCATAGAGCCCTAAGAGGAGGTTTTAGCTCAAATTCATAAAACCCTCGGTGAAGATGACCTCTTGATCTCTCTCGAGACTTCACTCACATCACATGTATATACATCTTGTAATTGTTGAATCGACGCAGATCGAAGATGGCTTGGAGACAAATCATACCTTTCAACAGAAGAGCGTTTTCAATTCCTTCCAATTTGGTTCCTGGGTTCGCTAATTTTTCTTCCAAATCCACACCTTACTTGGGTAAACATCTTCTTTTAGGGTTTATATACATATATATGTAAATGTATATGCCCTAGATATGTGTAATTTGGATTTAATGGGGGTTGTTTTGGTGGTTGTTGTTGCAGTGAAGGTTGGGATTCCGGAGTTTCTGAAAGGAGTTGGAAAAGGGGTAGAAGCTCACGTTGAGAAGCTTGAATCGGAGATTGGTGATCTCCCGAAGCTTCTCGTAACTCGCACTTTGAAGCTCAAGAAACTCGGCATCCCATGCAAACACGTAATCATTTTCATATTTTTTTTTTGGATTAATCTTTTCTTCAATAGTTTATATTTATGGGTTTTAAGAATAAAAAGAAAACAAACTATGATTTACACTCTGTTTCGGAACTTATAAAAATTGAAAAAAAGAAAAAGAAAAAGAAAAAGAAAGAAAAGGAAATGATTATATTATTAGGAGTGAAGGTATTATGGTTGATTTCTCTCCCCCTTGTTTGGATAACTAGGAGAGAAAAGAAGGGAAAAGATTATGATTTCTCACCTATTTTATTTGATTTAACTACATAAAAGAAAGGAAAAGAAATAGTTTCATGTTATATTATCATGTCTTGTAGGCGTCAACTTTTTTTTTAATTTATTGCTTTTATGTCTAAAGGGTAGTTTTTGTATTATGAAAAATAGTAATTTTTGGTTTCATGCTCTCCCAATCTCTCCAATTTTGTAGAGATTTAAAATGGGGATTTTAAGAGAAATGAGTTTTTCTCCCTTTCTTCCCATTTTACCCCATTCCTCTTTTCTTTACTAATCCAAACAAGCGATATGAACAAAGAGAAAAAGAATTTTTTTTTTCCTTTCCAAATCAGCCAATCCAAATGGGCTGTTGTCAGGAATATTTTTTTAATAGTGATATAATGCAATTTTTGCACTTTTATTTTGTCTTTACTCTTGTTTGGTTACTATTTTGGAGGTGTTGATATTGTTGACTGTTGAGAAGTATCAATGATCCTACATTGAATAGGACTCTTCTTTAGAGTATTGTGGCAATATGTAATTTATAATTTGTCGCCATCCAAAAGGAAATTAAATACAGGCTTTCAATTTATATATATTGAGATAGTTTGAGATTTTTGATGGATGTGTCTGTAAGAAATTTCTCAATCATAGTAAATTCTTCTTCTCCATGGATGTAGCTAGGCATTTGTCAAGCCTTGGTATGGACTCTGGCTCTTGTCTGTAACTCTCTCTTCTTAGCGATTGGCTCGTGTGTAACTCTCTCTTCTTAGCTAGTGGTTCTTGTGTGTAACTTTCTCTTCTCAGCTATGTGGATGCTCTGTCCATTTATCTGTGTGGTAGCATCATTCTGCTGCATGCTTCAGAATATTCCAGTCTGTGAGTTTGCTTAGGGTATTCTGGTTCTAGAGTTCTATTATCGTTAGAATTTAAGGAATCAAGAAAATTTCCTCTACTTCATTTTGTGTTGAAATTGTAATCTCAGTATTGCTGCATTGGTGGGTGTTATTTGATTTTATTAGAACCCAAGGACCAATCTTTGATGGTTTGTTTGTGCAGTTTGATTTAAAAACTTCTATGTTCATTGGGATCGAAGTAAAGTTTGGTTAAAAGATTGTGGCTGGAACTGATGTTCTTTAGAAACCAGTCTCAAGTTAGATTCTAGATGTAGAATTAAGTAAATTTATGGAAGTGTGATAGTCTTAGGTCAATGTATGTCCAAATCTTTAAAGCTGGAGCTAGGGTATTGTTTGAATTGTGATTCTTCTTGGGACGTTCCGAGGACAAGAAGAAGGCAAATTCATGTGAATTGGTGTAGGAAAGAAACATAGGTTGTGTTTGGTAGAGTTTTAGAATTATGATTTGAGAATAGAGTTGTATTTTGAGTTTGTGAGTTTTTGAATTTTGATTTGAATGTGAAAAATTTGTTTGGTTTTGAGTTTTAAAAAGAGTTTGAATTGAGTGATGTGACATATAATATTGAAAAGTGAATGTTTTGAAAAGTGTTTTGAAAAGTGAGTGTGGAATTAATTTTCTAAAGCTGCAACCAAACAACACACTCAAACTAAGGGATAGAATTACATTTCAAAAGCTCTACCAAACAGAGCCATAGTTTTTCCTTTATTTTTTCTTCCTGGAGATGAGGTTGGTGAACAGATGGGGTAGTGATCTATTGCACCTCTGCAAAATTGAGTTTGAATTGGTGGAAAGGAATGAAATCAGAAGTTGTCAAGAATACCTTCCTTTGTATGGAGGATATTTTAGGCTAATAGTTGGTCTTAACTCCCATCAAGTCCTATTAAAATTGTTACTAAAAATAATTTTTTGTTACATTTTTTACATATGTTGCTAAAAATTGACAATTAGTGACTTTTTTTTGTCACGATTTTTATAAATTTTTGCTAAAACGTACAATTAGTGACGTTTTTCAGTAATGAATTTTTTAAACTATCGCTGAAAGTTGAAAATTAGTGGCTTTTTTTGTGATATTTTTTTAAAATGTCACTAAAATTTATAATTAGTGACATTTTTTGTGACAATTTTCAAACTGCCGCTTAAAATTAACAATTAGTGATGTTTTTTAATAGTATTTGATGAAAGATACCATTAATTATCATAGGACCTATTGGACAATAAGTCCACCTATTAGGACTTACGCGTAAGTCTCCCGATATTTTATGGTGATCGAGTAGAAATCTTTCCTAGTCCTTTTGTGTTGCATTCAAGTTACCACCTTGCGAGTTTTGGTTCTTTATAGCCTATTGTTTGTGAAGCAGGTTCTCATCTTTGTCATCTCAATGAGTTTCTTTACTTTCAGTGATAATGTACTATTCTTTGTCCATCATAGTTTTGGAACTTGCAACTGCACAATCAGAATTGCTGCAGGGTATGAATGGATGTCCTGGATGTATTCAAGTCTACAACTTTAGAATTGCTTGAGAGTTGTCTCATTACTTTGATGATTGCTTGCCAAATGATGGATTTCAATACTTGGATATGGATAAATTATGACTTTCATGCTATCCTTTTGAAAAACTTGTATATTTGCCCGTTGTGGTATCCTTAAATATGAGCTTTTAATTGGCACAAGTCTTGAAGAACTCTTTGCTGAACATTGTAAAGCAGTTCCATAATATTGATAAGACTCGAGATGTGTGGCAACTTAGGGCCAAAGACCCAGTATTTTTCTTATTTACCACTTGTGGTGTACCTTAATCCTTTACGCTTGCAGTACTTTTACCATGACGTACCTGTTGGAGGTAGGTCTCTTACAGTTGGAGAGGTTGAGTTATTTAATTGTCTTTTTTATTTTTTATTTATTTTTAATTCTATTTGGACAGTTGTCAATTGTCTTGTTTAGGAAGTTGGGCTATTTTATTTGGCTATTTGGCTATTTTAACCTGGCTAAAATAGTTGTGTTTAGAAAGTTGGTTGGCTTTTTTTTATAGTTGATTTGATGATTGTGAGAGAAAAAGTGAAATTATTATGGGTTGGAGGTGACATTTTATCTTATTGACTATTTTAACCTATTTTGTCTTTTAGTGGACTATTTTAGCCCAATCCTCTTCCCAAACACCCCCAATATTCATCCTCATTCATGAGGAATATAAGGTGAAACAATTTATTGCTTGATAGACATGAGGTCTAGTCCAAGAGCCCCCCCCTCCCCCCTTTTGATACATCAGTTAGGAGTGCATAGCTGGGTGCCTTGGGTCTGGAACCGCAGTATAGCAGGTTCAATATTTTCCGTCTTCCTTTTTGAGTTCTAACTAGCCAGAGATGGGTTCTAATTTAGATGGTTTTACCATCCAGCTTGAAGGCTGAAACACCCTGTTGAGCTCTCATGATCATTCAATCGGAGGATTACTTCTAATCTATGAAGCATGGGTACTTCAAAAATATTGCCGTATGAGTACCGCGCATTTATCCGATACGGATATGCATACCGGTAAGGCTGCGCGTTGGGTATGTGAAATACGTATCTAGTATGCTAAATACTTTGGCTACGGGATGGGAGATGGGTATGGCTTGGGTACTTTTGTGGGTACTTTGGGGCATAATGTAATTTTTTTATATAAAAAAGATACTAGAATAATTGTGTTATGCCTATTTTTTAAAACTTAAAAAATATTTGGTGTTCAAAGCTGCTATAGGCTCGAAATTTTCAAGCTCGAATTTGCCCCTTATCCAAAACAACGTCGTTTTGGAAATTTTTTTTTTTTTTCCTTTTCTTTTTTCTTTCTCGCTGGAAGAAGAAGAAGAAGAAGAAGAAGAACATCATCAACACATCATCAACAACCAACATCTTCATCAACATCATCAACACATCGTCAACATCTTTAGACAGCCAACATCTTCATCAACATCATCAACATCTTTAGATTAGATCCACTAGGGAAAAAAATAAAAAATAAAAAATAAAATAAAAATCAACATCTTCATCATCATCATCAACATCTTCATCAACATCATCATCACCCAAAAAAAAAAAAAGATTCAGATCCGATTTAGATCTGAATCTCCGATCACTGCCATCACTGTCGATCTTCCTCCTTCGTCATCACCGCCATCACCGTCTTCTTCTCTTCCTCCTCCTTCTCCCCATCTTTTCTCCTTCTTCTCTCTTCCTCTTCTCTTCTCTTCTCTCCTTTCTCTCTCTCGCCTCTGTTTTTCTGTGTTCTAAAACAAGAAAAAAAAAAGCAAGAAAAGGAAGAAAAAAAGAAAAAAAAAAGGAAACCCAAAACGACGTTGTTTTGGGTTTCAAGCCAATTTGGAGCCAACGATTTTGAGCCCTCAAACAATTTTCTATTTTTACAATTATCAAAATATAAAAAGTATTCTTTTTTGGACCATTACAAATACTTCAAATTTTTTATTTTTTATTTTATTTTAATTTTTACATTTGATCTTTGGATTATTATATGTCATGTATTAGTATTAATAATAAAAATATATATTTTTTGTAGACATATCGGCGAATCCATACCGTACCCACACCTGCATCCATACCTACCCCCATTTTTCCTAATGTCTAATAAATAAGAGAGGTTGCCTTCTTAGTTTGCTAGTTGGAGAATAGGAAATTCAAACACTATAATAACAAGGGCCTTACTTATGGTCCTATAAGTAAGTGATTACTGTAATTCCTCAAGAGTCAAAAAGTGCTTGACACCGATACAGAGTATAATGCTAGCGACATATATCCTGAATCTACTTTAGTTGGTGGATCTTTTACATATCGTTTTTTTAGACTAGAGTGTTGAGAAAAATGGGTGCTGTGACCAAATATTACATTTTCATATGAGCATTCTTGTTATGTAAAGACCGTGGCATGCACCTTCACTAAGCAACCCTCCAACTTTGTGTTCCCATCGTCACATAATTTTCCCCTTTTTGTGGGTCTGGACATTCTGAAGTCCAACTTGGTTTTCAAAATTATGCCCTAAATTGTCAAAATGATTCAAATTGTTGTAAATTTGGTATTATATCCTGTAGGTTCATGTGAGATTCTGTAGGATTGTAGGAGCTAGTGATTTTTCATCTTATTTTGAATACATATTATCGTTATTGGTATTCTTACTTTATTTTTTTTTTTTTTTATAGAAGTAGAATCTTATGATTCTCATGGATCGTTTTATCCATGATCCAATCCTACGACCCGAACCATGAGACCCTCCCACAAATCCCACATATCCCAATTTTTACAACCATGGTTTTAAGTGCCCCATGAATAATATTTAAAGTCCATACAGGATCCAATTCAGTGTTTATTGAAGTTAATATATCAGTCCCCACAAAATGGCCACATGCTTTTATCAGTGTTTTACTTTCTCCTTTTCATAACTAATTTGAACCCCACATTCTTGCTCAATGATTGCAAACATGTTCTTTCCTGGTTCTTCTTCTCCTCCTTCTCCTTCTTTATTTGCTTTTCATAACTAAATTGAACCTGCATTCTTGCTCAATGGTTGCAAACAAGATGCTTCTTTCTTGTTCTTTGGACAGTATATGTCAGCCAGTGTTTTACATGATCAATCCAAGTCTTGAAGTTGTGCCAAGAACATGTGTTTTCCAAAATATAGTTGCAGGCCAACATATATGCTTCCTTCGCATAAGAATTGCCTGTGGCGCTGCAAGTGAAAGTGATTTCATTAAGAACCAACTTTTAGATTATTAAACTGTAAAGATCCTTCTGGTAGAAAGAGTATCAGATACATGAAGTCTTAGATTTAATTATGGAAACAACTGGTTTGGTGATTTAACACCAGTGCTATCATTGGTATATCTTTATTCAGTCTAGCACAAGTGGGTGCTAGGTGACTATGGCAAGTTTGAGTTCATAATTTCTTGCTTAAGACTGATTTCTATGATGATATTCGCAAAACTACTTCCGTCTGACCATTTTTAACTCTTCAACAAACCATTAATTTTTCCTATATTTATTTTTGCAGGGTACCTTTCATGTGAAAGGAAGGTACATGATTTCCGGTTGTGGATTTTAGTATTTTTGACTCGTGCCTATTAATTTTGAGCACACCGACTTCTTGCCACTATACTATTGGTAGGTTTGGGATTAGATTGTTCAACCTAGCTTGTAGATTCTCGATATTGCAAGCGTATCTAGATTCTTTTTGTCCGGCTTCCTAGCTAGGAGGTACTTCTATGATCTCACAGAACTTTGCATCTACTTGTTCCTATGTTCGATTTGATTTAGAAAAATTGTTGAAAAATTCACTCTAACAATTGTTTAAGGCATTAAGACCCTATTAGGGGCATATAAAGGGCGGATATGAGGGGAGACCGGATATAATATGAGGTGAGTCTTATATATATTTTTGTTTTCCTATATTCTGTGTTTGGTTGCTTCGGATATAGAGTTAGGATAATATATCCCTCAAAAAGGGGATATGCAATACAAACCCTCATGATATTATATATTCCCACTATCGGATATAGAGAATTTTTCATCCAAAAGTCAAAAATAATTACTCAATTCTTATCCCATCCTATACCTTATTTTAACTAAACATAATATAAGTAATCCCACAATATATGTAATCCATCTCATATCTTACAACATATTATATTTCATCTTTATTCTTAAGTATTACATATCTTCCTCAAACCCTTATATTTAATTTGAACAATCAAACGGGCCTAGGTTCAGTAAATATTTTTTGTTGGTGAGATGTCAACCTTTTGTAAAATAATTTTGTGAGTAGCCATTTTGTTGATTTTGAAAGACATTTTGTTTTTAATTTTATTCCTTAATTTATTGGTTAACTTTTTTTTATTTGTTAGGCTTTTTTTCGACTATCTATTTAAATTTATATATATCTGTTAAAATTATTTTTTATTTGTTTAAATATTTTTCCCTATCTATTCAAATTTATGTCTGTTTGTTGAATTTTGTTGTTTGTTGAATTTCGTTGCTTATCTGTTCAAATTTATATTTATCTATTCAATTTTTTTACCCTATCTGTTTAATTTTATGATCTTTTTAGTTCAAGTTTTATTCTTATTTGTTTAATTTTTTTCCTTGAATTTTATATTTTGAAATTCGATCTTTTCAATTTTTTTTGTTAAAACAATTTATTTGTTCAATACATTATCTTTATCTGTTCAAATTCTCATAGATTGATGGATAGCAAAAGGGCCCTCTAATTTTATCTTTTTAAAATGCTTCCTATGTATGAACCTCTCTCTCTCTCTCTCTCACACACACACACACACAATATATAAACATATGTTATTCAACGGCATATAAAAAATAAATAAATAAATAAATAAATCTATTAAAAAAAAGAAAAATCTATTAACAAAAAAAAAAAAAAAAATCTGTTCAATTTATTTGCATCCATTAATTGTTTTAATCCTTCCCCCCCCAATCTACTGTTTGGAACAACAACAACAAATAGTGAGAACACAAATCATATTCAATTTTTAGGTCACAGATGATCAGTCATGAAATTTGGGAAAAAAAATCTGGGAAACCATTCGTCATGAAATCTGCGGGGGAAAAGTCTGTTTGGTTGTCGAGAAAATCTGTGATAGAAGCTGGAGAACACTAGAGACAAATGATATAAGCTTCGTTGGGAAGATGAATTAGGTTGGGTTTAGAACTATTTTAGTCACAAAAAGATAAAAAAAAACATCATATCTAACTTATAATCATTACATTTTTTCTCTTACAAAAAGTCAAAAAAATTTAAAAATTCTTCTTAAACAAGGCTTTTTAGCCTCAGGCTAAAATAGTAAAAAAAAACCAATCTCCTTCCCAAATGAACTAGTAAGAGTGTAACTAGATTTCTCAAGCACTAACCAAGTAGCAAGTGTTACCACCAGAATCCCCACTGTTACATTCTTACTCTTCCACAGCATCACCTACAATTGTTTTTATTAGAACAAAAATAGAGTTGAATGTAAATTTAATTCACCATTTATAGCAATTGATTCAAAACAAATGTGATAAATTCAACAAGGATTTTAACGAAGTAATCAGTTTTGAAACAATCAAATGTGGATTTTGAGATGATCTGATTCTGAATTTAGATAAAGTTTTTGCTCTGATCTAGATCAAATCAAAGAGGTTCTCAATTTCAACTTCAAATATATATATATATATACTTTGTTAAAATTCTTTAAAAATTTGGAGTGATCTATTGTTATTGCATCAAATTGTCGATGAACAACAGATCACTCCAAATTTCAACAGATCACCCGCACACATCGACACATACACACAAACACCTAATAGATCACCAACAAATTTAAACCACCGCATTGTCGATCTCAGACCATCTTTGAACCCTAGCCTCTAAAATCGATTTCAGAGTTTTGAACCGCTAAAACCATCTCTTACATCTATCTCAATCTCGACATATGTAATGATCCAAATTATGCAAAAACACACAAATAAATAGTCAAATACTCAATTTTGATGAGGAAGAATATACGTAATGAAAGACTTGGCTTTGTAGGAAGAATTGGGAGATGAATTGAAGCGTAGAGGCCTTCATTATCGCCATAGAAGAAAAAGACCTTGGATTGAGCAGCGATGAAGGATTCGTTACGATACTCGTGAATTGAAGTAGAGACAAGTGAGATTGAATAGAATATAGAGAGAGAGAAAAGTAAAAATCGTAGAGATCGTTGCTTCATTATCATCAAACGAGCAACGGCGGCGAGATCAAGGAAGGCGGACAGAGGTGGTGGTGTCGGCGGCAATAGAGGTGGTGGTGTGAAACAGATCTGTTGGAGTTAGGGTTTTGGCAGCCGAATGAACAAATCTGCAGGCGGCGATTCCAGAACTAGTTGCCAGCGTCGGTTCTACGTCACTTCCAGATCTGGTTGTCGGCGGTGGTGGTGTCGCCGCTGGAAAGGTTCAGATCAGCGTGGTGAAGGCGAGAGAGAAGTTTGGTTAGGGTTAGGGTTTGGTTTGAAATACAATATATATATATATAGTTGGGTAATTTGATCATTTTAAGAGTTTCCTGACAAATTATTTTAGAGTGTGTACCTTTGGATAGAGAAAAATTTAAAATTAGATTTATGAATGGAGAGTTTTAATTTACTCAATTTGGCAAGGTCTTAGGCTGTCTTTGAATAGATAATTTGATGAGAAAAATAAAAAGAGAAAGGAAAATACTAGAAAGGAAAGGAGAAAGAATTTATATGATTTGAATTCTAAGTTATGTTTGGTTGAGTTGGGAAGTGGAAAAAAAAAAAAAAAGGGTTTAAGTGAATGTTTGGTTGAGTTGGGATTTGGGGAAAGAAAAGAGTGACTTAAAATATAAAAAGTGAAATTACATTTCTCTCTGTCTCTCTTTTTTTTCATGTATTTTTTATTATAATCAAACAAAAAGTGATACTGCGTTTCTTCTTTTTTTTTTCCCTCGTCAAATCTTCCAAAAAAATATAATCTTAACATTGTGTTTGGTTTGAGTGATTTGGGAAGAAAAGAAAAGAAAAGAAATGGAGAGAAATTGATTTCAATTCCCTATTTGAATGACCAAATATGAGAGAAATGAAAAGAAATGAAGAGAAACACATTTCTTTCATGACCCCTATTTTCAATCTCTCCAAAAGTCTATAGAAATAAAACCACTAAATATTATTTTATTATAATACAAAAATTACCTTTTTAGATATAGAATAAATAAAAAAACTAACAGATATATAAAAAAAAAAAATTTAATTTGGTAATATAACATTATATCATTTCATTTTATTTCTTTTATATAACTTAACCAAACATGATAGAAGAGAAATTCATATCATTTCTTTTATTTTCTTTCTTATGTCAAATCAAAATGAAAATAAATGACAATAATTTATTTTCTTTTTCCTTGTAACTTAATCATTTCTTTTTTCTTCTCCCGCTTAAGTTGCCAAACATAGTGTAAAGAGTCCAAATTAGGCCTCGTTTGAGAATAGGCTAATTTAGTAACTTTTTGGCTATTTGGCTAAAATATGAGCTAAAAAAAATCAGTATGTTTGGGATGACTTTTTGGCTTTTTACAAAAAGATGTGTAAAAAGTAGAGAGAAAAGAGAATATTTGACTTTTTGGTATAAGTTGTTGGTTTTTTGACTTTTTTAATAACTTTTTGATTTTTTGATTAAATCGACCTGTTGCCAAACGAGGCCTTAGTTGTAGTTAGCAGCCTTTGTTTGTTATTCACTACTACAAAATTGACTCAATTTTATGTTTATTTTCTTGCTTTGTTCAGTTTTCGGGCTTTGAAAATTAGCCTGTTCCAACTAAAAATTGTTTGCCTTAGAGTTTTCAAAAATTGTAGTACGAGTTTTTAATTTGTGTGTGTGTGTGTTTTTTTGTTCTTTTTTGAATTTTTAGTGAATTTTTAAATATTTTAATCAATTATTTTTTAGTTTGTAACTTACTTAAAGTATAAAATTTGTGTATTTTTTTTTAAATACATTGAATACAAAAAATAATATATATATATAAATATAATATATGTTCGTATTTTTTTGTATTCAATAGATTTTTTAAAACTTTTTGTTCAAATTTTAAGAGTACAAATTTTTTAGTGGATTTAAAAAGTAAAATAAAAAAATTTGATTAAAATGTTAAAAAATTTCACTAAAAAAAAACACGAATAGAAAATTCAAAAAATTATTTTTTAAAAAATTTCAAACTGGACGAGATGAAAAGTACCAAAATATTTTCTAATAAACACTTAAAAAAGAGGTGTGCCATATAACCTTAGTTACAACTTGGTTACTTGCGATGTTACTCATTGTAAATGTTATTTTGTTATAATTAAGGAATGTTTTGTTTTTTTCATTATGATTAAAAATAATTTAATTATGATAAAGCTGTACTATCAACATTAATGTCTTATAAAAGGGTCATTCTAGAATACATTGCAGTGTTTCTAATTATCATAAATTATTTCTGTCATAATTTAAAAAAAATTATAACCAAATACCTTACTTTGTTAAAAAAAAAAAATACCTTATACTGTCAAAATAATAATTATGATAGGTCATAACTAACATTACAATGATTTATAACTAATACCACAATGATTCATAATCAATGTATAACTAACATCACAATAGATCTTAACCAAAGATTACAAATGTCATAAGTAGAACATATTGTACACACCTCAAAATTTTGGAGATGTAATATAAAATTTAGAGAAATTACAAAAAATCCCAAGGTTAAGCCTTATAACAAAATAAAATTTTAATTTTATCAGTTTAAACCATTAATCTAAAAAAAATGATATTTTAGTTATTAAACTCGAAGAAAGGGTAATAACTAAAATAGTCATTTTTTTTTTATCAATTTTACTCAACGAAAATAGACAAATGGTTTATATTGAAAACAAAACAAAATATTAGAATTTAAATTGCCAAAATAAAAAATTTAGATTTATTTTATTATATATAAGACTCAAATTATGAATTTTTTAAAATAATTTGCCTTTAAATTATAAATTTTTGTTTTTTGTTTTGTTTTGTTTTTTGGTCAATTGACAAGAGAGTAATTACAAATATGAGAAATATTACACCATTAGTGATTAAATAACTCAACAACCACTCCACTACTACTTACATATAAACCATAAGGGGAGAGAAATAAACACCACCATAAAAGAGTATCAAACTCCTCTTTATATGAGTTGATTCTAAAACCTTACATCACAGAAGATATTACACAATCATTAAATCAAATAACTTGATTATACATTATAAAATCTCCCCCACACACATAAAATGGGATATTGTAGAAGAGTGTCAAACTCCTCTCTATAAAAGTTGATTTCAAAACCTTATATTACGAAGGGTGTTACACTTAGACCAAATAATCTGATTATACATTATAAAATCTCCCCCACACACACACATAAAATGGGATATTATAGAAATTACCCTTAAACCACTACTACTACTACTACTTACATATAAACCATAAGGGGAGAGAAATAAACACCACTATAAAAGAGTATCAAACTCCTCTTTATATGAGTTGATTCTAAAACCTTACATCACAAAAGATATTACACAATCATTAGATCAAATAACTTGATCATACATTATAAAATCTCCCCCACACACATAAAATGGGATATTGTAGAAGAGTGTCAAACTCCTCTCTATAAAAGTTGGTTTCAAAACCTTATATTACGAAGGGTGCTTAGACCAAATAATCTGGTTATTAAGATCGCATCGACCTGTTGATCGTTGCAGTAGTTGCCGTTTTTTCATGGCAGAAGGTCAGTTTGTCGCCGCAGTAGGAAAAAAAAGCGTGTCAGATTCAGGCGGCTAGGTAATGACGGACAGAGTAGATGAGTACTTTGACTTCAGGACATATAGTAGTGCGTTCATTTGTGCTTGAAACAGAAATAACAATAGCATTTCAAGATAATGGAGATTATCGTCTGTTGGCGATTGCATATTTTGCGTCTTCGACCCCATTTAGAGTTTCCTCTACTTATCATTATTATTATTTAGCTTAATTGAGTCGTCTTGTAAGCCTATTTGGATAGAGAAAAATTTTAAAAATTATGTAGTTTTATGAATGGTAGAGTAAGAGTTTTGTTATATAATTTAGTTTTTCAAACATTCAATTCTGGCAATGGTGTACTATATAGCCTTGTTCTGTTACTTACGTAATTTTCTTAGTTGTAGACCTAAATTTAGTTAGTTATTAATACTTACTTTGATGATGAATATAAGATAAAAAGATGATAGATCAAATTATATTATACTATATAAGAAATGTGATGAAAGAAATAAAGATATATGTTATCAAGTCACATCATTTGGACCCTACCAGTTAGCGAGTGATATGAGCGTATTCGTGTATAGTATGATGTGATAAGTGTGTGTGTCACAAACAACATAATAAATATTATAAGGTTCCTTTTATTTTTTTATCTAGATTTAGTGATATGTTTGGTTGAATGTATGGGCGATTTGTTATAGTATCATATTTCATAGGCTTTTTCAGGGAAAGAATGAAAGATTGTCGACTCTCAATATCGTGATAATAATATAAAGCGTGAAATTATGCCATTACTTCATCGGTCGATGTCTCTCTTTCTTTTTTCATGTATTTATCATATTATTAATCTCTCATACAAAAAGTGAAATAATTTCGACGTTCTATTATCCTATTCTTTTCTCCGTCAATATGTCTTCCATAAAATGTATAATCATGCCCTGGTTTACATGTGTTTTTGTGAAGCGTCTACGATCCCATGGTGTAGAAGAGATAAGAGAAACACGAGAAGTGAAACTAGTGTAGAGAATTAGAGTTCAATCCTTATTTGATTGTAGTGTTATGACCAAAATGACATATAGTAAATGTAAAGTATGACTGATAGAGAATATACACGAGTGTCTCTTTCATGGACTTTTCTACAACATTTTTCCTTATATTCTTCCTCTGTCCTAAAGTCTATAGATGAGAATTTCCTCGCGTTGCCACTAAATATTATTTTATATTATTTACCTAACAAAAGTAGTTTAACCTTTGTCATTAGTTTAATTGTTTTAGCATCGTGCTATGTACGTATTAAATTAAAGATGAATTAGAGCCTATACTATGTATAATTATACAAAAACAAAAATTATAGATTTAATTTATTACCATTAGGCTAAAGTGACTTTAGTTGATGTAGGTCCTCAATTGAATGCCAGTGGTATGAGGCAATTATACTACTAATATTATAATCATTGTATCGATTTTTATTTCTTTTTTTAGTAATTAACGTTACAATATAACCGAACATACCAAATAAGTATTATTTAATATTTGAGATTTTTCAATTACGTGTGATATCCATCTACGTTTAGTAATCATTATTTTCCCTTTCTTATGTCGAAATAATCAACACAATGAAAGAGTAGAGAATAAACCACATAATTTTATTTTCTTTTTTCTTGCGTAAACTTAATCTGGGTTCTTTATCTACTAGTCTCTTTGGCCGATCTAAGAGTTGGTCACAACGTGAGTTATAAGAGTCCAGAATTTCATGGGCGCTCTTCTTCGAGAGAAATAGGGATGAATTAGAAGTTCAACTTTTTGGGATATAAATCAATCTCTGAGAGGACTAAAGCTCAACAAAATGATCTTGGAACAACAACAACAAATAGTGAGAACACAAATCATATTCAATTTTTAGGTCACAGATGATCAGTCATGAAATTTGGGAAAAAAAATCTGGGAAACCATTCGTCATGAAATCTGCGGGGGAAAAGTCTGTTTGGTTGTCGAGAAAATCTGTGATAGAAGCTGGAGAACACTAGAGACAAATGATATAAGCTTCGTTGGGAAGATGAATTAGGTTGGGTTTAGGGCTATTTTAGTTATAAAAAGATAAAATAGACTTTTTAACCTAATAAGACAAAACATCATATCTAACTTATAATCATTACATTTTTTCTCTTACAAAAAGTCAAAAAAATTTAAAAATTCTTCTTAAACAAGGCTTTTTAGCCTCAGGCTAAAATAGTAAAAAAAAACCAATCTCCTTCCCAAATGAACTAGTAAGAGTGTAACTAGATTTCTCAAGCACTAACCAAGTAGCAAGTGTTACCACCAGAATCCCCACTGTTACATTCTTACTCTTCCACAGCATCACCTACAATTGTTTTTATTAGAACAAAAATAGAGTTGAATGTAAATTTAATTCACCATTTATAGCAATTGATTCAAAACAAATGTGATAAATTCAACAAGGATTTTAACGAAGTAATCAGTTTTGAAACAATCAAATGTGGATTTTGAGATGATCTGATTCTGAATTTAGATAAAGTTTTTGCTCTGATCTAGATCAAATCAAAGAGGTTCTCAATTTCAACTTCAAATATATATATATATATATACTTTGTTAAAATTCTTTAAAAATTTGGAGTGATCTATTGTTATTGCATCAAATTGTCGATGAACAACAGATCACTCCAAATTTCAACAGATCACCCGCACACATCGACACATACACACAAACACCTAATAGATCACCAACAAATTTAAATCACCGCATTGTCGATCTCAGACCATCTTTGAACCCTAGCCTCTAAAATCGATTTCAGAGTTTTGAACCGCTAAAACCATCTCTTACATCTATCTCAATCTCGACATATGTAATGATCCAAATTATGCAAAAACACACAAATAAATAGTCAAATACTCAATTTTGATGAGGAAGAGTATACCTAATGAAAGACTTGGCTTTGTAGGAAGAATTGGCAGATGAATTGAAGCGTAGAGGCCTTCATTACCGCCATAGAAGAAAAAGACCTTGGACTGAGCAGCGACGAAGGATTCGTTACGATACTCGTGAATCGAAGTAGAGACAAGTGAGATTGAATAGAATATAGAGAGAGAGAGAAAAGTAAAAACCCTAGAGATCATTGCTTCATTATCATCAAACGAGCAACGGCGGCGAGATCAAGGAAGGCGGACAGAGGTGGTGGTGTCGGCGGCAATAGAGGTGGTGGTGTGAAACAGATCTGTTGGAGTTAGGGTTTTGGCAGCCGAATGAACAAATCTGCAGGCGGCGATTCCAGAACTAGTTGCCAGCGTCGGTTCTACGTCACTTCCAGATCTGGTTGTCGGCGGTGGTGGTGTCGCCGCTGGAAAGGTTCAGATCAGCGTGGTGAAGGCGAGAGAGAAGTTTGGTTAGGGTTAGGGTTTGGTTTGAAATACAATATATATATATATATATAGTTGGGTAATTTGATCATTTTAAGAGTTTCCTGACAAATTATTTTAGAGTGTGTACCTTTGGATAGAGAAAAATTTAAAATTAGATTTATGAATGGAGAGTTTTAATTTACTCAATTTGGCAAGGCCTTAGGCTGTCTTTGAATAGATAATTTGATGAGGAAAATAAAAAGAGAAAGGAAAATACTAGAAAGGAAAGGAGAAAGAATTTATATGATTTGAATTCTAAGTTATGTTTGGTTGAGTTAGGAAGTGGAAAAAAAGAAAAAGGGTTGAATGTTTGGTTGAGTTGGGATTTTGGGAAAGAAAAGAGTAACTTAAAATATAAAAAGTGAAATTACATTTCTCTCTCTCTCTCTCCTTTTTTTTCATGTATTTTTTATTATAATCAAACAAAAAGTGATACTGCGTTTCTTCTTTTTTTTCTTTTCCCTCATCAAATCTTCCAAAAAAATATAATCTTAACATTGTGTTTGGTTTGAGTGATTTGGGGAGAAAAGAAAAGAAATGGAGAGAAATTGATTTCAATTCCTTATTTGAATTACCAAATATGAGAGAAATGAAAAGAAATAGAGAGAAACACATTTATTTCGTAACCCCTATTTTCAATCTCTCCAAAAGTCTATAGAAATAAAACCACTAAATATTATTTTATTATAATACAAAAATTACCCTTTTAGATATAGAATAAATAAAAAAACTAACAGATATATAAAAAAAAAAATTAATTTGGTAATATAACATTACATCATTTCATTTTATTTTTTTTATATAACTTAACCAAACATGATAGAAGAGAAATTCATATCATTTCTTTTATTTTCTTTCTTATGTCAAAACAAAATGAAAATAAATGACAATATTTTATTTTCTTTTTCCTTGTAACTTAATCATTTCTTTTTTCTTCTCCCTCCGAAGTTGCCAAACATAGTGTAAAGAGTCCAAATTAGGCCTCGTTTGAGAATAGGCTAATTTAGTAACTTTTTGGTTATTTGGCTAAAATATGAGCTAAAAAAAATCAGTATGTTTGGGATGACTTTTTGGGTTTTTACGAAAAGATGTGTAAAAAGTAGAGAGAAAAGAGAATCTTTGACTTTTTGGTATGAGTTGTTGGCTTTTTGACTTTTTTAGTAATTTTTTAACTTTTTGGCTAAACCGGCCTGTTGCCAAACGAGGCCTTAGTTGTAGTTAGCAGCCTTTGTTTGTTATTCACTACTACAAAATTGACTCAATTTTATGTTTATTTTCTTATTTTGTTCAGTTTCCGGGCTTTGAAAATTAGCCTGTTCCAACTAAAAATTGTTTGCCTTAGAGTTTTCAAAAATTGTAGTACGAGTTTTTAATGTGTGTGTGTGTGTGTTTTTTTTTCTTTTTTGAATTTTTAGTGAATTTTTAAATATTTTAATCAATTATTTTTTAGTTTGTAACTTACTTAAAGTATAAAATTTGTGTATTTTTTTTAAATACATTGAATACAAAAAATAATATATATATATAAATACAATATATTTTCGTATTTTTTTGTATTCAATAGATTTTTTAAAACTTTTTGTACAAATTTTAAGAGTACAAATTTTTTAGTGGATTTAAAAAGTAAAATAAAAAAATTTGATTAAAATGTTAAAAAATTTCACTAAAAAAAAGCACGAATAGAAAATTCAAAAAATTATTTTTTTAAAAATTTCAAACCGGACGAGATGAAAAGTACCAAAATATTTTCTAATAAACACTTAAAAAAGAGGTGTGCCATATAACCTTAGTTACAACTTGGTTACTTGCGATGTTACTCATTGTAAATGTTATTTTGTTATAATTAAGGAATGTTTTGTTTTTTTCATTATGATTAAAAATAATTTAATTATGATAGAGCTGTACTATCAACATTAATGTATTATAAAAGGGTCATTCTAGAATACATTGCAGTGTTTCTAATTATCATAAATTATTTCTGTCATAATTAAAAAAAAATTATAACCAAATACCTTACTCTGTTAAAAAAAAAAAAAACAAATACCTTATACTACCAAAATAATAATTATGATAGGTCATAACTAATATTACAATGATTTATAACTAATACCACAATGATTCATAATCAATGTATAACTAACATCACAATAGATCCTAACCAAAGATTACAAATGTCGTAAGTAGAACATATTGTACACCTCAAAATTTTGGAGATGTATTATAAAATTTAGAGAAATTACAAAAAATCCCAAGGTTAAGCCTTATAACAAAATAAAATTTTAATTTTATCAATTTAAACCATTAATCTAAAAAAAATGATATTTTAGTTATTAAACTCGAAGAAAGGGTAATAACTAAAATAGACATTTTTTTTATCAATTTTACTTAACGAAAATAGACAAATGGTTTATATTGAAAACAAAACAAAATATTAGAATTTAAATTGACAAAATAAAAAATTTAGATTTATTTTGTTATATATAAGACTCAAATTATGAATTTTTTAAAATAATTTGCCTTAAAATTATAATTTTTTGTTTTTTGTTTTGTTTTGTTTTGTGGTCAATTGACAGGAGAGTAATTACAAATATGAGAAATATTACACCATTAGTGATTAAATAACTCAACAACCACTCCACTACTACTTACATATAAACCATAAGGGGAGAGAAATAAACACCACCATAAAAGAGTAACAAACTCCTCTTTATATGAGTTGATTCTAAAACCTTACATCACAAAAGATATTACACAATCATTAGATCAAATAACCTGATTATACATTATAAAATCTCCCACACACACACACACATAAAATGGGATATTATAGAAATTACCCTTAAACACTCGTATTGAGCACCTGCAAAACATATAACAAAGACTAAACAGGTGACACTTCAAGCATTGCAACACTTCAAGCATTTGAGCGTGACCAACAAAATACACAGCTAGATGGAAGAAGATGAAATTTAAAGCTTGCCAAGAAGCTTGGTTCCAATCAGAAAAGATGCATAAACATCTTCAACAACATACTTAATTTGTTCATCTGAAAAAACCAAAGCACCCCAGCTGAAAGAAGGCAGATATTTGGATGCCTCCCAAGCTATTCCAACTTCAGCAGCTAATGTTGCTAATCCAGCACTAAGATCGGGCTTCTTAAGAACTCTAGCAGCCAACTCCTGCGCTTCAACTCTGCTCTTGCATTCTATTCGCCAATTTTGCCTCAAAGTATAAACTCCGCTAATCAAATTGACACCCACGAAACAAATTTCTTGGTCTTCCAGAAAATTCTTTAGGCATTGAGGTATTGAATTTGAACCCAAGCGATTCATTAGAATCACCAGGCACCGATTTCCGACACAAAGTTTCAACATCATAGACTCCTTAACCACAAGTCCAACAACAGTTGGAGTAGTGACCTCAGATCTTAACTCGGAAAGGCCTAAGCTGATCAAGTCTTCATGATCTACTACCCTTACCTTAACACTAGTGCCATGGATTTTGACATCATAGAGACCCATTTTTTTAAGGAGCTTAATGGGTATCATCATAATATTCCTCACTAGACTAAATTTAAGGTTTGTTAACTAGAGTACTACTTCTGTGAGCTCAGTCTTGATCTAGTGATAGTGCAGCAAGTCTTGGAACCCTTAATTTTGTGCCAATAATTCATTATTGGAAAAAGATTTAGAAAGAGAAAGGAAAAAAAGTGTAAAATTATGTGAAATATAGGTATATTTTATTTATATTTTACCATCATTTTCTATTTCTATTTCCAAATTTCTCCTCAAATCCTTGAACCAAACACAGCGTTAGGGATTGGACTGTCTCCAGTCCTTCATCGGACTAGACCGTCTAGTCTGGGCCATTAAGTCCACTTTTGGGTCCCGTTTGGATAATCTAAATCGTTACATTTTAAGGTTTGTCGAGTATATTATCCCTGTAAAAAATCAAGTTGATCGGATATCGGAAATCACGTGTTCGTATCAATTTTGCATGAATCGTTTATTTTCTCACTGTTTATTATTTTTTTTTTCCATATAAAACTGATCCAAACACGTGGTTGACTTTATCCGATTGACTTTATTTTTTGTAAAGATGATGTATTCGACGAACCCTAAAATGTAAATGGTTCAGATTATCGAAACAGAACCTAAAAGTGGGCTCAATGGGCCCAATAGTATGTTGTTCAGTCTGATTTGAGATTGGAGAATAGTCAGTCCCTTAATTAAGATTTGTCGAGTCCATATGTCGAACGAATCTAAACTGTGTGTTGATATTTATTAGTAATTTTTGGGTAAAATTTATGGGTTTGTAATATTAGTGAAGAGAAATTACAAGAGCATAAATTCAACAATGCTATAAACTTAGAAAAAAATACTCATAATTTGAATTGTGTGGATCAAATTTATTATTGATATGGTCCTTAACATGTGGGATTGTTTGGGATATCCTAAATAAGTGCACTTTTGAATTTTTGGATTAAAAAGTTAAGAAAAAAAATATGATTGTTTGGGATGACTTTTTGACTTTTTACGAAAAAATATATATTAAAAAATTGTATAATTTAGTGTATAGGAGAAGTGAGAGAAGAATAGGCAGTGCAGTGGGCAGACTAGTGTATAGGACATGCTTGCCTCCTTTTCGAGCATTGAATTGGACGGTGATGTTCGACTCGTGGGGGCCCACCACGGGTCTCGTTTTGGTAATCGGAACCGTTCAATATGTAGAACTCGTCGAGTACTATATGCTCATTAAAAATCACGTTGATCGGATATCGATGGCTATCTGATCGGATTAATTTTTTGTCAATCGTTAACTATAACACCATCCTTTTTTTTTATACAAAACTGGTTTGATCATGTAGTTAGTGATATCCAATCAACGTGATGTTTTACAAAAATATAGTACTCGACGAGTTCTAGACATTAAACGGTTTAGATTATCAAAATGAGACCTGTGATGGGCCCCCATGGGCCGAACAACACCGTTCTTAAGCTTGCCTCCGCCTGTGTAATTTGTTCTCACTAAAGTCAAGTAAAGGCAACTCACGTCAGAGTGAGTTGTACCTTTTTTATGTAAAAATAATTTATTTATTTAAGATGCCAAAACAAGCCTAAGTTTTAATATTATTTTCTATTGAATTTAGTTACTAAACATTATTTTTTCGTCAATTTTAATTAACGAAATAAGTAAATGATTTAGATTAAAAATAAATTAAAAATTTTAAATTTAAATTAAAAAAATTAAAATCTCAAATTTTATTTTATCCTAAGGGTCAAATCCTATCCCCCCCTCTTAATTTCTCCTAGAATCTTGATATATACTAGTATTAATTAAGCCCTTAATTTCTCCTACAATCTCGATATATACTAGTATTAATTAAGCTGAGTATGCAAACCAAACAAATAATATATATTTCCAATTCTTAGTACTGAAGCAAAGGCTCTCTCTCTCTCTCTAATTATTCATTTTAAAGTAGGAAGGAGACCTTTCCCCTTTAGTCTTTGTAAAGTGGCTTTAAACATCAAAACACTAGTACTATGATTTCCATCAAAATCTCGGCCGATGTGCTCCAAATTCATGAATGCATGACTTCTGAGAAGGGTCTCCATTAGGAGACTTACGGTTGAGGTTGGGAAGTAATTTTTTATTTTTTTTATTTTTTAAAAATGTATAAAAAAATAAAATAAAAAGATGATGTGATTCAAATAAGATAATAAATTAATAAGTTGGACTTTTTCTTTACCTTTTCAAAAGAGGCATTAGTGCTCGTAGTGTTTGTTGGAATATTTTCAAACTAGAGGTGTGTACATATGTCACATTTATGAGATTTGTGATAGTTAATTATAATCTATTTTGATGTTAAATTATAACTTAATTATAATTCATTGTGGACCAATAAATTTGAAATTAGATCATTCATTTTTTTAAAGACAAAGGATAAAATGAAAATATATTGAGACTTTGTTTGTTTTGAATGATAGAGGAAGGGATTGAATTAGTCGTGAGGTGGAGTCCATGAACCATGTTTGTTTGAAAAAATGACCTTAAGACTAACAGTCCCATAGGATTAGAAATATCCTCTTGTAAGGGGACTAACAATCCTATAAGGCCATGTTTATTTGGCGGATTAGATTGGATGAGATTGTTAGTGAGAAGATAGTTAGTGAAAAGATTATTAATGTGGAGATTGTTAGTGAGGGGATTAAGGAAAAATGTGCCTTTGTTATGATGATAGTATGGGAGATGATTAGTGATAGGATTGTTAAATTATTTTTATATAAAATGAATAAAAAAATATTTCTATTTTAAAAAAGGGTCATTTTTTTGATAAATTCTCCTTTTAAGTGTTTTATTCCATCTAACACATTATTTTTTAGTATTCCATTAAGTCTTGTTTAATGTAATATGACCAAACCATTCTTTCTAATATTTTGCACATGTTTCTATTTTGAAAATAATACATAACAATAGTCCCTTATTTTATGGAGAAAATCTCTTCCTCATTCTAAAGAGAAAATCTTTCTCTTATTCCATAGAGAAAATCTCCTGCCTTTTTTAAGGAGAAAATCTCCCCCGCATTCCATGAAGAAAATCTCAAATTATGAATTTTGAACTTTTTTATAATTTGAAAATTTTAAAAATAACACAACAAAAAATTTGAATGAAAATCAAAATACAATATTAATGTTCACAGTAAATAACAAACGTGCAACTAACTTTTGAAAAAACAAAACACATACTAAAGTACAATGTGAATGTTCACAATAAAAAACGAACATACAACTAACCTACGAAAAAATAAAATTCATACCAAAATACAATGTAAATGTTTACAATTTATAATTAACATACAACTAGCCTTAAAAAAATAACTCATACCAATATAAACATTTACACTGCAACGTGAAAACATAAAACAAAAGTGAAAAAAGTGAAAATCAACTATTTCAATTATTTAATGGTAACAAAAATGATTGTGCAGCTAACAAGTATAATAATAAAAACAACAAACATCAATTAACTTTTAAAAAAACAAAACTTATACTGAAATACAATGTGAATGTTCACAATTTACAATTAATATACACTTAGTTTTTTTTTTTATTTAAAAAACTCATATTAATGTGAACATTCACACTGCAACATGAAAATATAAAATAAAATTAAAAAAAAATAAAAATTGACTATTTCGATTGTTCAATGGTAATAAAAATGATTGTTCAACCAACAAGTATAGTAAAAAAAATAACAAAATATTACTAACTTTCGAAAAAACTTAAAAAAAAAAAAAACTCATATCAAAATACAATGTGAATGTTCACAATTTACAATTAATATACAACTAACTTAGAAAAACTAAATTCATAGTAATATGAACATTCACACTGCAACATGAAACTATATTAAAGAAAAAAAGAAGAAGACTAATTCAATTGTTTAATGGTAACAAAAAATGATTGTTCAAACAATAAGTATAGTAACAAATAACCAATGATATGTAAACATTCATATCTTACAAAATATATAATTATGTCCATATCTATATTTTAACACTTATTTTTCATAGTTTCAAATAATGTGAAATGTGAACATTCACACTGATTGATAAAAATTAGAAATAATGGCAACAATAGATTTAGAAATTCAAAAAAAAAAAAAAAAAAACTCAATTACTCTAAAAACAAAAAAAATATCACACACATCCTCATCCTCACCTTCATCGTCATCTTTATTAGTATCACCACTATCATTAACAATCTATGCAATTTCACTATTCCACCAATCCAAATCAAACCAAATGTGAACATTCACACTGATTGACAAAAAAATAGAAACAATGGCAGTAATAGAATTAGAAATTCAAAAAAACTTAATCACTTTAAAAAAAAAAAATCACCCACATCTTCATCTTCATCTTCATCTTTATCATTATCACTATTATTAACAATCTATGCAATTTTACCATTCTACCAATCTAAATCAAGCCAAACCCACATTTGAAGAATATGTTTGTAACAAATTGGTTGGATATAAACAGAGTTTCAACTTATAACAATGGAGAAACATAGAATTTTGGACACAAAGCAACGATGGACGAACACAAAACTTTGAACACAAAGTGACATTGAGGAACACAAAGTTTCACCGCAACAATGGAGGAACATAATATTATTTTACCACCATGAATTGGCCTGTGGTGCTGCAAGTGAAAGTGATTTCATTAAGAACCAACTTCTAGATTATTAAACTGTAAAGATCCTTCTGGTATATTCCCATAAATGTTGTCTATTTTAGTTTATGTGGACTTTCTCACTCATATTAACTAATTTGAACATTTTGTTTTGGGCTGTGCACAGGAAGCTGATATTGAAATACACGCACAAATATAGGGTTGGACTTTGGAGGCCTCGAGCGGAGCCTGTGAAATCGAAATGGCTCCAGAGTGCCAAGATACCATAATATTGCTGCTGAATGTAAATGGACACCACTCTTGAAGGTTGAAGAGTTTTGGGAACTTGTAACTGTAAGCACTTTTGTTCTCGAACTTCTAGTAATTTGAGAAAGAGTATCAGATACATGAAGTCTTAGATTTAATTATGGAGACAACTGGTTTGGTGATTTAACACCAGTGCTATCATTGGTATATCTTTATTCAGTCTGGCACAAGTGGAATATGGTGCTAGGTGACTGGCAAGTTTGAGTTCATAATTTCTTGCTTAAGATTGATTTCTATGATGATATTCGCAAAACTACTTTGGTCCGACCATTTTTAACTCTTCAACAAACCATTAATTTTTCCTACATTTACTTTTGCAGGGTACCTTCCATGTGAAAGGAAGGTACATCATTTTGGGTTGTGGATTTTAGGCCAAGTTTGGGTAGTTTAAAAAAAGCCAAAAAGTCAAAAAGTTACTCAAAAAGTTAAAAAGTCATTACTATTCACCAAAAGTCAACAATTACGGCTGCACAATTCCCAATTCTAATTTTCCCCTACAAACTAATTTTTACAATTTTTTATTACACATTTTTCCATAAAAAGTCAAAAAGTTAACCCAAACATTCATATTTTCAACCTCAACTTTTTAGTCTAAAAAGACAAAAAGTACACTTATTTAGTCTTCCCAAACTTGGCCTTAGTATTTTTGACTCGTGCCTATTAATTTTGGAAAAAAAATTGGGAGCTCTAATGGTGGATCTTTAGATATCTCTAATGATTTGTGGGTTACACAATAATGTGATGTTTGTGCCTTGTGTTTTTTTTTTTTTCTTTCAACAATGATACATCTTCTAAAACTAGAGCTCTAATTGAGTTCTAATGAGGTGAAAAATCAAAAAAATAAAAATAAAAATACAAGAGTAAAACATTACATTAAGCTCTACATACACATTAGAGTTATTAGAACTTACAAATTAAAACATCAAAATATTTTTGTTTTGTTTTATTTTATTTTGTTTTGTTTTTCCTATTGTCAAATCATTAGAACTCTGTTTAGAATTTTAAAATTAAAAGACATGTCATTTTTGTTAATTTTGAGCACACCGACTTCTTGCTAACTATACTCTTGGTTGGTTTGGGAATAGACTATTGTTCAACCTAGCTTGTAGATTGTCGATATTTGCAAGCATATCTAGATTCCTTTTGTCCGACTTCCTGGCTAGGAGGTACTTCTATGATGTCACAGAACTTTGCATCTTCTCGTTCCTATGTTCAATTTGATTTAGAAAAAATTATTGAAAAATCTACTAACCATTGTTTAAGACCATCTCCAACGGTTCACCAAAACTGATATCAAATTCAAATTTTGATGAAAAAGCTGCTGTTCACTGCTCCAACGGTTGCACCAAATGAATATCAGATTGAGATTTCATCAAAAAATTTATCAAACTGACGACGAAATATTGATTTCACCAAAACACTGTTGGTGGCCGTTGGAGGGAGACCAACCAGTCAACCAGCCGGTTGCCAGGCCGGTTGACCAATCGGTCGACCAGTAAAAGATTCAAACAGTCCAGGAAAAAAGTTCAAACCGTTAAAAAAAAAAAATAATAATAATTTTGCCTAACCGGTCAACCGGCCGGTCGACCACCCGGTCGTCTCGAAAAAAGTTCAGAAAGTTCAAAAAAAAGTTCAGACAATTCGCGAAAAAGAAAAAAAAAAATTTTTTTTTTGCCTAACCGGTCAACCGGCCGGTCGACCACCCGGTTGTCCCAGGATAGATTTGGTGAAAGGTGAACCGTTGGAGTGAGTGGTATCAAATTTGGTGAAATGGGTCATTTTTGACTCAGATTTGGTGAAAAATTTGAGTCACCGTTGGAGATGCTCTAAGATATTAAATTCAGTAAATATTTTTTTATTAGTGAGAAGTCTACCTTTCGTAAAATAGTTTTGTGAAAAGTTTTTTTTGATAATTTTGTAAGATATTTTGTTTTTAATTTTATTTCTTAATTTATTTGTTGATTTTTTTTGTTTGTTAGTTTTTTTTTTCAATTATATGTTTAAATTTATATCTATCTATCTATTCAAATAATTTTTTTTCCTTATCTATTCAAATTTAATTTGTTGAATTTTTTTTTCCTTATGTGTTCAACTTTATATTTATCTGTTCAATTTTTGTTCAATTTTTTTTTACCCTATCTGTTTGATTTTATGATCTCTTTAGTTCAAGTTTTATTCTTATCTGTTCAATTTTTTTCCTTGAATTTTTCATGTTGAAATTCTATCTATTCAATTTTTTAAATTTTTTTCTTGTCTGTTCAATATATTATGTTTATCTATTCAAATTATCATACCTGCACATATGGATAGATAGATAGAGAAGGGTCCTCCAATTTTGTCTGTTTAAAATGCTTCCTATCTGCATGAAGCTCTCTTACACACACACTCACAGATCTATAAACATATGTTATTCAACGGCATATAAAATAAAATAAAATAAAAATAAATCTATTAAAAAAAAATAAAAATCTATTAACCAAAAAAAAAAAAAAAAACTGTTCAATTTATTTGCATCCATTAATTGTTTTAATCCTTTGCTCCCCAAACTACCATTTGGAACAACAACAACAAATAGTGAGAACACAGATCATGTTCGATTTTCAGGTCACAGATGATCTCAGTCATGAAATTTGGAAAAAAAAATCTGGGAAACCATCATAGTCATGAAATCTGCGGGGAAAAGTCTGTTTAGTTGCCAAGAAAATCTGCGATAGAAGCTGGAGAACACTAGAGACAAGTGATATAAGAGTGTAACCAGATTTCTCATGCACTAACCAAAGTAGCAAGAGTAACCACCTGAATCGCCACTGTTTCATTCTTACTCTTCCACAGCATCACCTGCAATTGTTTAGATTAGAACAAAAACAGAGTTGAATGTAAATTGAATTCACCATTTGTAGCAATTGATTCAAAACAAATGTGATAAATTCAACAAGGATTTTAACAAAGTAATCAGTTTTGAAGCAATCAAATGTGGATTATGAGATGATCTGATCCTGAATTTAGATAAAGTTTGTGCTCTGATCTAGATCAAATCAAAAAGGTTCTCAATTTCAACTTCAAATATATATATATATACTTCGTTAAAATCCTTCAAAATTTTGGATTGATTTATTGTTCATGCATCAAATTGTTTAAGAACAACAGATTACTCCAAATTTCAACAGATCACCCACACACACCCACACATACACACACACACCTAATAGATCACCAACAAATTTAAACCACCGCATTGCCGATCTCAGACCATCTCTGAACCATAGCCTCTAAAATCGATTTCAGAGCTCTGAACCACTAAAACCACCTCTTACATATATCTCAATCTCGACACATGTAATGATCCAAATTATCCGAAAACACACAAATAAATAGTCAAATACTCAGTTTTGATGAGGAAGAATATACATAATGAAAGACTCGGCTTTGCAGGAAGAATTGGGAGATGAATTGAAGCGTAGAGGCCTTCACTACCGCCATAGAAGAAAAAGACCTTGGACTGAGCAGCGAAGAAGGATTCATTACGATACGATACTTACGAATCGAAGTAGAGACAAGTGAGATTGAATCGAATATATATATAAAGAGAGTGAGAGAGAGAGAGAAAGAGAGAGAGAGAGAGAGAGAGAGAGAGCAAAGTAAAAACCCTAGAGATTGTTGCTTCATTATCATCAAACGAGCAGTGGCGGCGAGATCAAGGGAGGTGGTTGTTTCAGCGGTAATGGAGGTGGTGGTGTGAAACAGATCTGTTGGAGTTAGGGTTTCGGCAGCCGAATGTACAGATCCGCAGGCGGCGATTCCAGAACTGGTTGCCAGCGTCGGTTCTGCGTCTCTTCCAGATCTGGTCGTCGGCGGTGGTGGTGCCGCCGCTGTAAAGGTTCAGATCCGCGTGGTGAAGAAGAGAGAGAAGTTTGGTTAGGGTTAGGGTTTGGTTTGGAAAACAATAATATAATTCCTCTGTCCCAAAATAATGGTTTTTTGGGGAAATCTAATTTTTTGGGCAAATTACAAACATGGTGGCTGACGAGGATATCTGATAAACCCGGTGAAATCATTGACTGTGGCGCCTTTTCTACCCTCTAGCTCAGCAAAGGAGAACACTGGGGTTTTTGCTCTGAACCACCGAATCTCTTAACTGAAAGATGAAATAGGTAACATCTCAACCCATTTCACTATACAGACAGTAAAGCATAGCTGAATAGACTGTATTCAAATCATGCCTCCGTTCAGCTTTGTTCCCGATGCCAATTACTACTACGCATTGAATACCCAATACTATTTGAATTGATACCGTCACGCAGATATACTAGATTCTCAAAATATTTGATGCCTTATCAGATCTGTGCGGCCTTGATACTTTAGACTTGCAAACTGATAACGTCCGTCATTCCCTTCTGTTGGTACGCTCTAAAACAAAGCACATAATCAAAGCAAAGAGAGCCAAAACAAACTCCTAGCTTGGGGTAAGGGTTTCACCTGTCCAACCTTTTGTCAGGAGGCTGGGTTTCACTAATATCGACACACAGCGTTTAAACAACCTAACAATGAGTAACGCCAACCTACTGTCCTATGTTTGGAAGTATGTTGGGCGAAATTAAGTCACTATGGATTCCGAATTTATGTACTCGAGGTGAATATGAAGATGGTTGCAGGAGAAAGGGTGCCCGGTGGAAAATCGAGGTTTTGGTGTTTCCCGTCGTGGCAGAGGCCCTGCAACCCGTCAGGCCTTATGGTACGCTCTTTCAAGCGAGCCGCTGGCAAACCGTTCAGGAATTAGCATGGCAACAGAACGGTGTCCTAAGGCGCATCAATGCAAATGCAATGCAAACGAGACACATGTTGTAGAACAAAACAAGATATCATGAGTTTTCGATCAAGCTCTCTAAGTCCCCAGCATAAAAGAGAGTCCGCCAGAAACTGTAGACACGCCTCCGAGGGCTTTATGTTGTGCTACAGCTTTGACTCAAATGTCAGCGAGTTCTTAATCTAATCTCATAATGTGCAATGTGAGATTGAAAATACCAAAAGAGTCCAAATCTGGCAATCGTTTTGGAAAAGCTATTTTTGTAAAGAAGTGTCAAACATGGACTTGCTTTGGGCCAAAAAATACAAGAGTCAACCACCTAATATTTTATTTTGGGGGATTAGGAAAACCCTGACTCGTTGCCTAGGCCATGTGTCCCTTCATCAACACGCAACCAAAGTTTGCCCGCGTTCGGCTGCTTGGAATCTTGGGAACGAGAAGGGCGAAGGGTCATAGTGTTTCACCATTGAGCATCCCCGCTTCGCTATCTTTCTTTTTATTGATTGAATGTCGGAAAATTCTTGCTACTTAAGGGCATTGATACGTTTGGTTTTGAAAGGTCATGTTCATTTCTTATTCCGGGTTATAAGCATTGGTCTATAGAAATTATACTATGTGATGTGCAATAACAACACATGATTATATTACAGTGAACATCAAGTATAGATGATAGACCAGAATCGGCTAAATTGGACCAAAGATTGGCGAAAAAGACGGGATGGATTGATAAT